AAAAACACCATTTACTTCCTGCGGGTGCGCAGGCTGTGGCCATCTACCTCTCTGTTGCTCTTCCCATCAGAGAAGATGGCCCTGGAGACGGTGCCGAAGGACCTGCGGCATCTGCGGGCCTGTTTGCTGTGTTGACTGGTCAAGACTATAGACCAGTTTGAATGTGATGGTTTTGACAATTGTGATGCATATCTACAAATGAATGGTAACTGAGAGATGGTGTATGACTCCACCAGCTCTTCCTTTGATGAAATCATTGTGATGATGAGTCCAGAGGACAGCTGGGTCTCCAAGTGGCAGCGAGTCAGTAACTTTAAGCCAGGTGTATATGCGGTGTCGGTCACTGGTTGCCTGCCTCAAGGAATTGTGTGGGAGCTGAAAAGTCGAAGTGCCTACAAATCCAGAGACACAGCTATAAAGACCTAGCAAGCTGCAGGGCTGCCAGTATCTTTGCTCTCCACTTCCTGCCTCTGCTTATTTCTTGTTCTGGAACTAAATGAGCAGAACTTCAAATACTTCCTTCCCTCCAATTCAGACTCAGCTGACTGTTGAGAGAGCAGCACATCATTTTATCATTTTATCTTCTTTGGACTACAAGTGGGGTGGGAAGGATTTGGGTTGGTGGATTAACAGATGGAATTGAGGAGAGAGTAGGATGCTGATTTTCCTACCCATGGCCCAGGGCTGTGCCTTCCTTATGCTGAGGACTCTAGGTCAAATGTCAATAAATATGAACCTCTAGGAAAAAAAAAAAAACACCATTTTGCTAGTAATTTTGCATGCACATTTGTGGGAAGAATAGAAGTTTTCCAGAAACAAAGGCAAACACAGGATTTATAAGGAAGGAGAGAGAGAAGAACATGAAGAACTACATGTAGTCTCAACAATCTCATTTACATATTTTGGTGGATAACCTAATTAGCTTGTGTGTGGCAAAAAAAAGTCTGATCATTCTGTCCTTCAGTAGGCCAACTGGGAATATCAAAGCAAATTCAGTTGGCTTTGGATTCTTCAGTAAATATTGAAAGTGTCACTGCGGAGTATGAGAGACTAAATCTATGAATGTCTTCCAGTGTTCTTTCATTAGGACCCTTACCTTATATTAGGCCAGGGCTGGAGTATTTCTCTCATCAGAATTCTTCAGGTGGAGTTAGGTATCCAGGTTAAACTTTTTATCCTCTATCCTTAAGTTGTGTTTACATTTTGGAAGTTCATTGTTGTTAATGAGTAGACTATTTAACCTTGGAGCTATTATATTGTTTATATTTAAAATTTCTTCTCCTTTCATACATTTCCCCCACCCTCCAATACTAAAAGTTTTCCAAACTGTGCTGTTTTTATTACCTAATGCCAGTTAGGTATTCTGTTCAACTTGGGTAAATATTTTAAGCATCCAGAATGGACTCATGAATCTTAAGGTGGCTTGATGATAAAGTCTGACCTGTTGAATGCATAATAATATACCAAAGTTAAATCCTTCTTTTATTGAAGAATCTTTTATTAGAATATGAAAAGCAGTCAGAGCAACTGGATGTGGAAAAAGAACGTGCTAACAATTTTGAGCATCATGTTGAAGACCTTACAAGACAACTAAGAAATTCGACTTTGCAGGTAATTTTTTAATAAATTCAAAAATGAAAACTATAACAGGTGTATTTTAATCTCAATACTTTGTGCATAAATTCAAAAATGAAAACTATAACAGGTGTATTTTAATCTCAATACTTTGTGCATAAACAAAAAAAAATAGTCGGAAACAGAATTTGTTCCCCCCACCCCCCGCTTTACCCTCCTCCCCACTTGTGAGAGAAGAATAAGACGAAACAGCTAGCAACTATGTTGCTTATTATTCTAGTCTTAATTCCCCTAGAGGATTGGTTGGTTGGTTGGGGGTGGGTTTGTTTTTCATTTCTGCTCTTTACTCTGCCAGTGCACCTGGTCTCTTGTAAGGTTTACCATATTAGTGACAGATTTTGAAACTTATTCTTAATTTAACATTATCGTTCTATAGCATGGACTTTGAAATCTTCATTTGTCACACTATGCCAGTATTCTCGTTAGTGTACCTGTTCATTCTTCTCTGCTGTATATGTTTTCTGCATGTTTATAGTAATGAATCATTTGTCATTTCAGTGTGAAAAAATAAATTCTGATAATGAAGATCTGCTGGCTCGTATTGAGACACTACAGTCTAATGCCAAATTATTAGAAGTACAGATTTTAGAAGTCCAGAGAGCCAAAGCAATGGTAGACAAAGAATTAGAAGCTGAAAAACTTCAGAAAGAACAGAAGATAAAGGTAAAAACAATCCTGCGAGATTGATTCACATATATATGATGCATTTATCAAAATATTTAAATGAAAGGAAGACTTACTAAAGAGTAGCATTTATGAATACAGCACAGTTCATTAATTCCTTAATACCAACCATAAATTTGAGAATCCATGCTGTGATTTGG